TCAAGTGCCAATGCAGGTGCTGTTGGTGGCTATAATGGCAGTACTGGTTATGGTAGTGGCAATACTTACGGTAGCAGCAATGGTGGATTTGCTGGAGACAACCAGTTTGGAGGAAACCAAGTTGTTGGAAACAGCTCTCAGTTTGGTGGTGACAATACTCAGTTTGGTGTTGGTGGCCAATCTGGCGGTGAGGCTCAATTTGGAGGAAGCATAGAGAACAATGAGTCGTCAATGGAGAATGGATCAGTGGGTGGAGATTTCGAAGATGACACTGATGTTGCCAAAAGAGCTTGAAGCAACTGGCAATAAAAAGTTTTCAAGACTTGTCTTTTCATATTTATCACTATGATTAGTAGTAGCTATTCTAATATCTTCTCATGAATGAAACGCTTTAGCAAGAAACACTCTGGTTTTGCTATCTTGAAATCAATTTGTAGCTTGAGATTGTTTCTTAAGGTATACATTGAATTTAAACAAAAACTTTAAGCTATATTTTCAGCTTTGCTCGTAGCCTGATATGAGAAAACTTCATCTGTTTCTGCATATCTACAAACTAACCAGACTTTGAAAATTCCATCCATCAGACAAACCTCTAATGTTAACTAATGTTATAGATTCTGTTCTGTTTCTTCCATGAGAAATAACATTTTCTGAGCATTCAACACAACAGGAGACCCTTGCTTTGTTTTCTCAACAATCTGCTTTATCAGTTGTTTCTCCATTTCACTCTCAAAGTCACTGCTTTCTTCTCCATCTTCTTCTTCCAAACCAATAAAGTCCAGAAGTTCTTGCTCCTGCTCCTGCACCTTGGAATCATCTATATGATGGCTCCAAGGTGAGCTTTTGTTTGTTGAAGAGAAATCTTCATGGTGAAGCCCGCTCTCTTGTATCTCCAGTGGTGAATCATCATCTTCAGAGTCATCGTTTATTTTCATCAGTTCGTCGTAAGAGTCATTGAATGCATCAAGTGCTTCTCCTGTTAAATTCATAACCAGGGGTTTCATTTCAGCATGATTAGTCGTGGTGTCCTCTACAGCAACTGGGATTTTTGAGCCACTCTTATATGTCATCACTTCATGGTTTTCCCACAACCTTGACCATGAATTCTTCTTGCTTTCAGATTTCATGACCAACTGCTCCACCTTCCTTTGGCTCTCTTGGAGTGCAGTCTCGAGCTCTGTAATCCGATTCTCAAGACGCGAATTGATAACTTTATGCAACCGCAGGCTCAATTCACGAGGTGAGACAGCATAGTTTCCTGGCTCAGGTGTGGAGTTACCACTTGGGTCTTGGTTGGACTCGGTTTCATCTAAACGCTTCCCTTTAACCCGATCAGTTCTCAGTTCACCCTGTGCAAATTCTACCTCAAAATCCGGCTCCATCTTGAAAAAATAAAAAATAAAAAAAGTTTAACTTCGAACATATTGTTGAGTTTTGATAATTCAAGCAAGGCAAAGCAGAGAGCATAGAGACGCACCTCGATCATATCAGAGAGTCTTGTCTCAATGTTGGAGGAGTTCATGTTGATTTCTAGCCTTTCAAGTTCAGCTTCAAGCTCTGCTTCAATGTTACTTATAGATTCTGAATTCTCAGCTGCCTTTTCGCTATCTAGCTCCTTCACTATCAATGAGTCTTTCATCTCAAGCTCATCTTCTAAATCATGTACCAAATTCTCTGTTTGCTTCAGCTCTTGTTTGACTTTGCTCACCTCAGCTTGGCTTGCCATGTACGAGGACACTATCCCAATCGAGATCCCGATTTGTAGCAACACCGCTGCATCACTTAGTCCTGAAAAAAAAGAAACTTAAGTGTCATGTATAGTCTTTTACCTTTTCCAGTATAACTAACTAATACAACTTAAAGGTTGCAAGAACTTTACCATGTTTTTTACTCTTGGTCTTCCCATTTCCCATTTCTCTTTCAACCGAAGACTGCAACTCAGGGATTCTGCAATTAGGTGCAGCCTTATCTTCGTTGAGTTGCTGGCTCAGACATAACGAGTTTGCAGTGCTCTTACTAATTACTCGACCACCATCAGTCACGAGCAATGGCCTTGAAATTGCAGCGAGTGGCGATGGAAATGGGCTAGTCATGTAATCTTCCATGGTCATTTGCTCTCCATGAAACCGAGACATTAAGCAGCTTTCGAGAGAACTCAAAGGTTTCGTTAATCGGCTGTACCGCTGATTTCTCCTAATAAATCTTCTCTGCCTACATGAAGAATTCAACTGAGAGTCACCTGCAAGAGTACCACTGGTTTTCCATTTCTCATGTTCAATCTCCGGGAACTCAGGCATCAAACTGAACAAAGATTCTGGATGAATATCGTCACAATTTCCCAAATTCTCCCCACTCGTAGATGGTACATCGACTCGATATGCATCCGGATTTTCCCGTTCTGATATCAATTTCTCATCCCCAAACTTGTTTTCATTCGTCTTCTTGACTCTTGTCAATCTGTTAAGCAGGCATCTAGGAGGAGATTCAGGCTTCACATTCTGAGCATCTTCAGAAGAAGATTCGAGAAAGTTACCTTTACCTTTCGTTACATTCTGCAACTGCCTAGCTATATATCCTGTAGCAGCAGTCGCTGCAATTAACCATATATCCATTTATTCCTCTCGTGTCCTCAAGAATCAAGAGAGCAACACAAAATCAAAGAGTAGAATCTCTCCTTCTTCATTCCAACTCACAGTGCACTAAACCTCTTCCATAAAACACCAATCCAATGAACAAACTCCAATTTCAAAACCAAAAGCTCAAGGTTTGAACTGTCTCAAGTGCAGTGAACAATCCTAATCTATCAAGAAGAGCTTACGGAAACTTCAACACAAACAAGCTAACTTCGAGACCTAGAAACCCGAAAAAAAAGAGAGAAGAAATTTCAGGTCTCAGCTTGGTTCAAGAGCAATGAACACAAAAACCTTCACTTTATACCCAACTATACGGAAATCGAATCAATGAGCAATACCCATCTGCGACAACTTAGAAAAAGCTTCGATTTTTCCGTCAGAGATGAGCTGATTTGCAGAAACAAAGTGTACCCTTTTTTGGATAGCTTCAAGAACGAGATCAATGGACCAATGGAGAAGCTCAAGATCAATAAGAAATCGAAAGGATAAGAAGACAATCGGAAAAGGTGGAGGATCTTTGTCGGAAGTTGGTTGAATCGAACACAGACGAACGAATGAACGGCTCTGTGTTTTATTTATTATTATCTTCTTCGTTTAGAAAACAACTAACAACTGTAAAGGTTATTAATTTTCC